GACATCACAACACACACATATATTTTGGTTTGGTTTATAATATATATATAAAGAATATTATTAATTGAGTAAGTATGAAGTGAAGTATGAATTAACGAGCACAGAGCGAAAAGTCTGATTGGGACACGCACAAAACAGGACACAACCACAACAACGAGACACAACACGAAACACACACACAGCTCCACACACACGCACACACACCTACACACACACACATTACAACACACCACACACCACGTACAACTATTTTGCGGACACCGACACGACAAGCAAGAACAACACTACGAAGCAATGAAACAAGCTGGAAGAACAGACGACAGCAACAGCAGACACATATAATGAGTGAGTGGTTTTAGGTTATATATAGTGAAGGATGAAAAAATATAAATAAGGGATATTATATATGATGCATATTTATTATTATATACTAGTATATAATATGTATGAGTATAGATAGTATTGATATAGACTTATATTTATGTATACGCGAGAAATCTGAACAGCAACACAGACGAGATGGAGATTTCACACGCAGCACGCGGTGGTATCATGTATAGAGCTCAGTTGAACGCTAGGGACGACAAGGAAGAATGCGCAAATCAAATAAATAAATAATGAGATTGACGAAATTCTATTGATTTGAGTTAACGCGACAGTTTAGCATAGCGAGATCCAATACATAAATGCTTTTATTTGCAGCAGTATAATTGATGTAAAATCAAGGTGCAATAACATCAATATGGGTTTTTACTATACCAATGTATACTACTTATCTCTTGACATAGGATGTGTATTATAAAAATAGTCTTAGGACTAATTCACTACTCAGAATATTAGATGAAGCTTCTTATTGGTATAAACTTATCCTTATTGACTCTTTTCAATATTTACTGTTGAGAGTAAATAAATATAAGGATTAATTTCAAAATTAAGTATAATATTATTATGTGTAATGTGAGTTATAATCGTATTTATATGCAAATTCAACAATAGTATACTGGAAGAGTTTGCGAAACGATATAACTTCGATATTGATTAGCCTCTGGATCTGATTTTTGTATAAGGGTTATATTGTACGAGATATCCAAAGGCTCAAAATCAACTATGGATAATGGTATTACTGAAATGTTTTAAACAGGGTACTAAGAAGCAGGCTTATTCAGTTTTGGTTTTAGCACAAAAATAATGTAGTTAATTTGTTCACAAATAATAGCATCTCAGTGGTAAAATTGCATGTCAGTTTAAAATATTACCTGTATATATAAAATTACAAGGCACTAATAGTCACTGGGTTATGCTCATTTGTAATTATCATCTAGTTACTGTTGGAATATCATATGATATTCGTTATGAGTGTTATTATATCAACAAATTACCACAATATTACCTTACGACACGGTTGAGTCACCTAACTATGGGTCAATTGCATCTGTCGCTCTTCTTAAGTAAGCGAACAAAGATCTAGTAGTTGAATGCGTCACACATTCCAAAATATTTTATTCCTGCCATACTACTGTAGAGCACTGTATGATTGTTTCACTTTTTTTTTCTTTTTAAGAAAGAGGAAAAAAAAGCAGAGAAAGGGTGAAAATAGAAATAGAGTAAGTTAGTGAAACAGGAACAAAGATATTTCAAACTGTAGATAATAGAACTGATCGATTTGATTGACTGTAAATTTCTTCTTTTTAATATTATTTACTACATTGAAATATATTTAGAGGGTAACTTCTCCATATTGGATACTAGTAGTAAGCACACTCAGAAAAATACAATAGATTGCAAGTTCATATTTTCGTTAGAAACTATTCTTGTTGCCGTCAAATAGTATGTTAAAACTAACAGTGCAGAAAAAGTTAAAATAATCCACTTTATTCGTAACACATATTATGTTTTGTTAATTCTGGTGATGCTTCGTCTCTCCTAGCACTCGCTTCAGATAAAGCATACTAATTTTGTCGAGGATGTAAGTATGAACAAAGATTTACTTTAGATTATTACTTGTATTTTCATTTTGTGCTCAGAATTGATTCGTCAGAGGCCATCCATTTTACTTTCATAATATGCGTGCGAATTTTAATCATATACGTCAAGGACTATTAATCTTAATATCTTTTAGGGGTATATAGTATTATTTTGCCTCTAAAATAGACAGTTACATAAGTAGAAAAAGAGGCAGATATGAAATGAAAAGTGCATTCTCGCAGGTTACTGAGTCAGCGTATTAGGCAGTGAATATATGATAGGAGCTCAGGTCACAAAGTAGGCACTGCTGCGAACATATCTCATTTGTTCCCGTAATCTTCAGGTCCGGTTTTTGATGAAATGCTTGTGTTCTCCGTCAAACGCAGTATCTATCTATTACTGTGCCTGCTTGTCCAGATAAGACTCACTGGGCAAGGACACTCTGCGGTATAATATATGTGATTATTTAAGCGAAAGGCGGTTTATCGAGGTCAAAATGGATCAATTAATTTTCAGTGTGAAGGGAATGACAAAATAAGGTCAAATTAATTTAAGTTATAAATGCTGCACGGAACTAGGTGATAATTATACGTTTTAACTCGTTCAATGCTCGATACAGTTGTGCAGTATAATCAGGTTTGTGTAGTGCGTCGCTCCTGTCTACTTATTATTGTTGTATTAAATAGTGCCGTATACATAATCAGCACTTGTACTGTATATATGTGACATTATAAATCAATAACAAACTAATAAGTTTTATCTAAGTCATCTATGTTTAAGTGCGATATGTGTCTAGTGATTACATATGCTTAGTGGTAAGTATTAATTAATACAATACTATGTATACTATACAATATTAATATACATTTACTACCATCACTGGAGTTTGAATTTAATATTATATGCATAACATACATGCATGTACATTACAATCCTATTATGTGTATGTATTTAAAATGTATTATGTGTTGATTATGGGATAATTTATATATTTTATATTATTTCAAGGTCTATCCCCTGCACGAAAGAATAGTATAAGTAACCAATCAAAAAGTTGAGAGTTTGAAACAGTCAGTGTGACTGTTACCTTTTTCTCGACCTTTCTTTTTTGCCTAGTTATCAAACGGTACTAACCTTGTGGACTTCGTTAGGATATTGTACCCGTAAGCCAGACTCATTATGTTCCTATATCTTTTTTTACTCTTCAATTCCACAATGGCCTATGATTTATAAAATAATTACCTGTAGGTTTATGCATATAATTAAATAATAATTAAGTAATGAGCGTGATTTGGAAATCCATAATGGTAGAGAGTTGTCGGGCATTTTGAATAGTAACTCTTTCATATGAAACGGTCTTAACGCGACGCGTCAACGTAATCGACTTCCATATGAAATTTTGTCGATGATAATGATAATAGCCTAATGTCTTAGAATATGCGTAGGACGTGCTGATGCTGTTGTTTCGAGTTTCACGCTTCGAGATGTAAGCTAGCCGGTGTGATGTCTAAGTAAGGTCAGACTATAAAAATAACTATTTTTAAGTGTGTATATTTACGAATATGATGGTTAGATGTGTAAATGTTGTGTAGTAGTGATAGTTAAGTGTAATAGATAGTTGTGGATCGTGATGTATAGTAAGAGAGAATTGAGATGGGAAGTAGACGAATAATAAAATTAAAGGATTATATATATATAAAATGTATAGTATAGATTTTACATATGCAGGTTGTAGTGTAGATGTGGTGTGTTGCGTGTTTGTGGTACGTGTGTGTAATTAGGTATATGATGTGAATATAAAACATCACCTTAAGAACATTAATAATAAAATATTAGGTAACGTATAGATGTTAAATGATAGTGAGTGGAATGCATATTACATTTACACACATCGTGTGCAAGGATATCAAACGCATGTTCTACTGAAGCATATATAACTAATGCACACAAAAATTTAAACCGATTCACTGTTTAATCACGGAAATAGCTGCAACTCAAACATCTTGGCAATTTTACCTCTTATGTATTGTGTTATTTCGTATATGATATGTGATAATTTTTCGTATAGTTATTCAGACATCTGCTGACGTAATGGCACAGCTAGATCATAGAACGAAAGAGTCGTATTCGCTATTTCGTACATGTTTTGTTTTCTGTTTTTGTCTTTTTTATTTGGTTTTGTTTCCTTCTGCTGGATTTAATTCATTCAGTCCTACGATAAATTTGAGATACAGGAAACCACAAACGCGTTGACCTACGAGTAGAATCTTTGGTAGTGCTCGAGATAGATCAAGAGGCATTTTGATTAATAGTAGATACAGTGTATTATGTTACATGTTATTAAACTCCTAGTGAGCTTATCATAGTCCCAAACATATAAAATGATCTCGCTTCTGAATCTATCCCTATTATTTCATGCACTACTGACCACACACAGGAGCACCAACTATCCTACTGGAGAGAATGTTTCTCCTAGATACGTATCATTCATATTAGATGAAGGAAATCTTAAGTCATGTTTACGGACCGAAAAAAAGATGTCCGAGGTGAGCAGACATGTATTATAATAATTTTGAATTCATTTAATTATATGTAACAATCCCAATCTCTAATATACTTCATGTAACTATGCATTTTAACCAGTAAGTGGAGTGGGATTAATAATTTGTATACACGATAGTGTGTGTGTGTTGTTGTGTGTGAGTGTGTAGTGTGTGTGTGTTGTTAGTGTTTTGTGTTTGTTGTGTACTGTGTAGTGTAGTTGAGGCTAGGTTGCGCCCGGTCATATACTAATATAATTAAATCAATATTGATAACTACTAATTATATCAGTAAAAAAATAGATGTTACAAGCGGTACGGTACACACCACACCACTACACACACACACTACACAACACTAACTAACACATAACATCAACAATACTACAAACTAACGTAAGACGATCTACAGCAGCACACAGCACTGTGCATAATCACCACGAATTTATAGTGTGTGTATATTGATTGACACCATCGATGATACTAGGAGGCAAGATGACAGGAGTTTGTCAATTTATATCAACAACATACGAGGAATATCGAAAGGCGGATGTAATGACACGACATGCTCAATGATGGATATTATATTTAGAGCTAGATATTACGGTGAATTCAACGAATGTAATTATAATGTACTATATAGAGTAATATATAAATTATAGTATATGGAGGTAATATATATAGACGTAGTATATATGTATTATATATTATGTGCTGTGAATTGGTGTGGACAGCCAGAGTCTGGTGTTGGTGTGTGCGGAATGGATCTGGTGTGTTGGAGGTGTTGTAGTTGGGGCTTGAGGGTGGTGTTGTGTGTGATGTTATCTCCCTGTTAATATTGATATATACTTAATTTAGTCTTGTTGATAGTTAAACATGTGCAGGGGTGTTGTTGTGTGGTCGTTTTAGCTGTGATTTTGGCTGTGTTCTTTGCTGTAAGTATTTAGCGGTTCAGAATAGTGAATGTGGCGAGAACTAGTGGTATGTGTGTTGTGTGTGTGTTGGTGTGGTGTGGATTGTTGTGTGTGTTTGATACTCGATGGCGGCGTTTTTAGTACCAGCTGGGTGATTTATGATATGAGGAAGTGAGTTTCAGTAGTGTTAGTGATGTTAAGTAGCACGACGGAGCTATCTATTTCGCGCACGCCGACAAAAGCACAGACAACACAGCAAACAACACACACACACAGCACACCACCACACACTACCACACACATCAGCACATATGTGGTATAGATGCCAAGACAGAGTTTAAAAATATCTATCACTTATATAATGTAAATGCAGCTACATGGAGAGTAGATAGTAGGGAATTGGTACCTTTAATAACTTATTTAAATGAATCAAATTATTTATTAAAATGTTTTTATCAGCGGGCTTGGCTGTTTCATTCCTTTTCTTTATATCGTACATCTTTTTTTTCCGTAAAACATATAAATTATTTTCCTTCTTCTTGATTGAAAGCTTTAGTTCTAGGTAGAAAATTCTCATAGGAACTGCCGCACAAAAAGGAAAAAATAATAAGCGTCATTTATGTTGACAAGTAAGCATGGATACAATATAAACACTGATCTACTTACCAAAAATGCTTTGTCATCTGCATAAAAGATCTATCGACAACCGTTTCCTCTAAATTGGCGAGAATATAAAAAGAGAGAAAAAAGCAAAAAAAAAAAAAAAAAAAAAAAACTTAGAACTAGCGGATAGACTCTTGTTATTTATGTGAGATGAGGAGAGTTGAAAACAAGAAAAAAAAAAAAAAAAAGAAATAAAGAAATGCAAGGTTTGGGTGCAGCTATTCGGATGAACGTGAAGGAAATTGTGTGCGTATATGTCTGTGACTGCGTGTCCTTGCACATGTGTGTGTAAATAGTATGCACACATTTATATACTATCTATATGTTTATTTAAGTTCAGGCTACACATACACACACACATACACACACACACACACACACACACACACACACACACACACATACATACACACACACACACACACACACACATATATGTATATATACACAAATAGTTATTTACTGTTACTCCAATCACACCGGCGGCTTCATCTCGAGCGTGAATGAAACAAGCATCAGACTCCCTAGCATATCTAACATAGCATTTACTCACGAAAATTTCATGGAAGTCGTTCGTTGACGCGTCGCTAATGACGTTTTCAATTTTGTAAAGTAGACTATTCAAAATCCCGAAATCCCACTTGATCAATCCGCTATCACTAATTCTATTAATGAAACCAATGATTTCTTTAATTTCAGGGTACGGATTGAGAAAGAAAAGATAATTAAATAAGTCGGCTTACGGTACACTACGAAGTCAAGGGAGACGTTGATACAGGCAAAAGAAGGTCGAGAAAAGGTAACTCCACTGAAGTTTCAACTCCACTTTGATGGTTATTTGCTTCGGAGAATGACCTGTGAATAAATATATAATTATCCATACACACATATACATTTATACATACACATAAGTGGATGTATGCATGCATGTATGTGTATGCATATATATCATACGCTGTGATTGTGTAAATATATATTGTATGTATATTGTATAATACTCCACACGCATATGTATACACTAGACACATACGCACTATAATGCTGAAAAAACATATTGTATGTTTTAATGCACAAATATACCGTGCAGTCTGTATACTGGCATATATATACAAACACACAGTAGCAAAGCGACGCACACAAACCTGAATGTACTCACATGTGTGAGCTTGAACGAGTAAACTATAATTAGTCACCTATTCCGTGCAGCATTTATACTTAAATTAATTTTGACCTTTATTTTGAATATCCCTTCACTGAATTTTGACCTTTGCCTTGAATACCTCTTCGCTAATCCTTCGCAGGTGTCCTTAGCCAGAGATCGGACAGAAGGCCAGTATAAAGGCTGCGCTTGACGGAGAACACAGCAGTTTCCACCGGACTCTGGAGAATGCCCTGTCAGAGGAACAGAGATGTGGCTTCGCGCTACAGGTACCTCTGTGTTGAACCGCGCTTCCTTCAATCATCCTTTACACATCGACCGGCTGACTCATGGATTAGAGAACTCACAAGAAGCAAGATCGAGAGAGACACACAGTTATTTCTAGATTTTACATTAGCCCTCCTTTGTTTATCCCTGTTGCGATGATGCATGTATAATTTTAATACCAATTAAGTATATCTCTCTGACTAGATTGTCTCTTAGGATCTATACGTATGCATAATAATATTCACATTCATTTCGAAAGAGAGTAAATAGTTACTCCAGCCTATGGTATCAAACTACCTTCGTATGCACACAAATAGAAAAGGACCCTATACGTAGTGTAAAATTATCATATAAATCCTTGGTGACTATAGCTACTATCTTCGGCATAATACAAGATTGTAACTCTTGGAATTCAGAAGTAGCAAATGGAAGCTAGAGCAAAGGATTTTGATGGTAAGTATCAATAACCATAAAACAGGATGATGTGTTTCATTATACTTCTGATACTCTGCAAAAAGGTGACATGGGTATATGCAAACAGATCCGCCGAAAAGAAGAGTAAAAATATGATCAAGAAGCAAATATAATGATATAGTAAACAGATATAAGCCTGAGGTGGTGCTTCTTACCACCTGTGTGCATTCTAGGTGCGCCACATGGGTAGAGTTTTACCCGATACTTGAATGTATAACCGGCAGAGAATGGTAATAATAGTAAAAAGANTGAATGCAAGCTGCCCAGAGTCACCTTCACTGCCTTCAGGCTCTCCGACTGTTGGGATAACTTGGAGATTCGAACCAGCAACCGCTACGATGGCGACTTGTAAGTCCTCTTCAACTTTATGAATATAATCAATTATTTCACGAATATTCTCGTTACAAGTATTCTGTAACACATCTCTTATTCTATCAATTCGGTGGCAGTCCTGTTCCCCTTCGGTTGATAATCTTTTCCATGAATCGTCTTCAACAGCTACTGCGGGACCAGCATCGCCCCGGGTACCTCGTTCACCTCCACCACCAACGAGCTCATCCTGATGTTTTACACAAGGACCAATTACGAGACGGGTTGGTCTGCGGACGTCACTTTCATCGACGACCCCAACTGCAGCCCTGCTACCACTCAAGCACCAACCACTCAGCCACCGACCACACAGCCACCAACCACTCAAGCACCAACCACTCAGCCACCAACCACACAATCACCGACCACTCAGCCACCAACCACACAACCACCAACCACTCAGCCACCAACTACACCACAACCCTCTCCAGACTGTTCTTTACTCTCTGCCAGCGAAGGCGTAACTTGGCTATCCCCCAACTTCGGCTTCGAGAACTATCCCAACGACTTCACTTGTGGTATTAAGGGGACCGCTGTAAGAACCACGAACGTTTTTCCTCCATATGTTTAATGTTTCCCATGAAAAATGGCAGTGCATCACATAAGACAGCTGGTGTATCCCATGAAAAGTGTAGTTAGTGTATGGCATGAGAAACGGGAGTTAATGTATCCCATGTTAAGTATTCCATACTGACGTCTTCCTCTTCCAGGGCTCACCATATATGACCACCTTCAAGATCAACTCCTTCCAACTGCAGAAGAAGAAGCTCAAGAAATGCGTCGACTTCGTTGGGATTCAGATTCCTTACAACAGGACCGTGAAGTAAGGACTAACTGCATGCGAGTAGTTGGCAAAAATATTCTTGGAAATATTATAAGAGGGATTAGTGTTGGGGCAGCCCACGAGATGACATTCCTTCACTGGGGAAGTGAAATAGAGCTTTTTTTTTAAATACCGGTATACAATGTTGGACAAAAAAGAAATGTAAACTGTAAGGTATATTCCCTGATAAAGGTATTAGTGGCCGAGGCATCCTCCTATATGGCATTTCCTATCTCAGGCTCTGCGGTGCAAGGAAAGGGTCCATTTTTGTTCCGAACCTGAATCTGGAAGCCAACTTCGTCACCGACAACGCTGTAACGGACGTCGGATTCAACGTCAGCATCACGTGGCAAAAGACGGAGTGTCACCGCGTCATCGAACTTTCGGACGACTCCGCGACGGGCGTCATCCAGAGTCCAGGATTCCCAGAGAATTATCCGAAGAATTCCGTCTGCGAGTGGTGGATTGTGGTAAGGAGTCTATATGCGTCTTTCCTACTTTGGCGAGGTCAATATGTCTAGAATATGTCTCTCTTTTGTGATATAGGAGGTAGGGTTTATTTATTCTCCTTCTAAGTGATGTTAAAACTATTTCAGGCCCCAGAAGGTAAGAGAATTCACTTGGAGTTTACGAAAATCAGCATCAAGGACAGGAAATGCCTTAGGGCTTACATCGCCGTGGACAAGTCAGGCCGGGCCTCCTACATGCCCGAACACAGCTCCCTCCTTTGCGCTGGGATGAAGACCTCCTGCCTTGTCTCCGAAGGACGCACCGTGAACGTCGCCTTCGCGGGCGGATCAAGGACATCCAAGGGCTTCTCTGCTCGCTACACTGTGGTGTAACCTGTTCATACGTTGATGCTGAGGAAACTGACTTTATATATACTTATACACACACACACACACACACACACACACACACACACACACACACACACACACACATATATATATATGTATGCTTACATATGTATATGTATTACTATATACAATTATATATATACATATATACACACACACACACACACACACACACACACACACATATATATATATATATATATATATATATATATATATATATATATATATATATATATATACATATGCATCAATAAATATTTATGTATATACATATGTTATATTCATATGTGTATATATTTTTATACATGTATATATTTATATACATACACATACATAAGCAAATGTGTAAATATATATAAATATATATGGATATATAAATACATATAAAATATATATATATATATATATATATATATATATATATATATATATATACATATATACAAACATATATATATACATATATACAAACATATACATACATACACACACACACACACACACACACACACACACACACACACACACACACACACACATATATATATATATATATATATATATATATATATATATAATACATAAATACTTACATAGATATACATATGCATATACATATACACGTCTGAATACTATATATCTACACATATATGTATGAATATATACATATATATATATATATATATATATATATATGTATGTATGTATACATACATGTAGGTATATGTTTATACATACAAATAGGTATACATATCTATGTATATCTGTTTATATATGTATATATGTGTATATACATGCATATATGTATGTGTATATATATGATATATATGTATACATATGTATGTGTATATATACATATATATGTATTGATATATATATATATATTGATTTATACATATGGATATATATTTATACATGTTTGTATATATGTATGTGTATATGTATATATATATATATATATATATATATATATATATATGAATGCATGAATGTATGTTTATATATAAATAGATAATTATATATATGTATGTATATATATGTATACGTATATGTGGATATATAGGTATATACATACATACATACATATATATACACACACACACACACACACACACACACACACACACACACACACACACACACACATATATATATATATATATATATATATATATATATATATATATATATATATATATATCACTGATATCCCAGAGGCTCTTGATCTGTATCCATATGATTAGTTTATCTTAAGTAATAATAAAGCTATTTGCAAAAGACAATTCCATGTTTTAATCTATGCTAGAAAGATATATGCATGTTTGTATACATTAAATATATGTGTATATACATACTATTGCATGAAAGAAAACATTGTTCCCAGTTCTGTCACAGTTTGCACCGTCTGACTCCATTTGTGTGAGCTTACTGTTGCAAACAATTTGCTAAAAATTCTTTCAAATAAATAAAAGAATAAAGCAGTAAGTTAATATTTCTTCCAGTAGAATTCCTACCACCCGAGCGTATTGCTGGGTTAAAATCCTACATAAAAACATTTAGATCCTACTAAAGAACGGTCCCCCCTAGATAACACGAGGGATTGAACAAAAACGGTCAGTGTGATGTTCAGTTTGATCGGTGGTCTGGCAGTCAACAGGCATAAGGCCCTGACATGGACAGTTTGCTTCAGGGATGTACTTTGATCGTGAAATGGGCGGTTGGACGACACAGAAAACACGACTCGTTGACAACAATTGCCTCTTCCTACCTCAGACCTGGAACTACAATTATATTTCCACCTCACCCTTTGTGACCCTTTGCAACTATAGCCTGTTTATAAAAAAATGAAAAAAAATATGCATAATGAAAGAACTCACATCGATGTTATAGACTTCCATTGAGCAAAGCATCCAACCGGACAACCCGTCCAAAAACCTGTGTTTTTGCACATTCGGTAACTGGTTGGATTTCCAAAGCCAGGTACCTTTTATTCAGTGAATTACTCTACTTGATTATGCGAGATTTGTCTGTGATATAAGTGACAACTATTTATGAGTACAATCCATGTTCATAATCAAGGATAGGCATTGTGCAAGAGAGATAGAAATGCGAAAAAGGAAATATACAAGGAAATACTGATTAAATATACCCTTCTCTTGATTGATATTACATATTGATCATCGATAATTTATCTCATCAAGTTCAACAATATATGATTCGATAAGGCTCATTCATAAGTCAGTACACCAAGGTAACATTTTTTTTTTCTTTTTATGAGCAAAACTCTCGTACTCAGACAATCGGATTACAGCCAGGCATTAACCGTCATGCGCTTTCCCCCAAGCGTGCCAGCTTACTAAACAAAATCACAAACAAGTAAAAGTAAAGAATAGACGTATTGTTCTCCCAAAGAAGACTCCATCCATCTACGTGTGTTTTCAAGCAAGGCAACGAATGAAAACATGAAAGATTGCTTTTCTCTCATGATATTCACATTCCCATGGGTCTTTGTAACTGAGTGGTCCCACAATGTATCAAAATATAGTCATATAAATAAATTGGTGTAGGTGTAGCGTGAGGTTTCAACTTCCAAGAGTGCTACACTGCCCGTGGTATCATTATTGATACATGTCAGACATCACTCCAATTGTGTTACAGCTTGTGTTTGATTTTACTTTGGAAAACCGTCAGCAAAACATGCCAGTCGCTGGATGGGCAAAATGTTCCCTCTGGGGAAAGACTCGCCTTCTGCAAACTTTTTATGAATGAGCATCTTTGACCCAGGACTAGGTGAGACCTCAGGTTACCGAGGGTCACTTTGGAAAAGCTGCCAGATACCGCGGTAACATATGCATTGCCTGTCATTATATTTGGTCACTTCTTAAAGTTATTTTTTCATGTTATCATTAAACAAATTCCGTAGGAATCATTGTACACAATATGATCACACTTTCTATCTTTTAAAGATGTTTTTATATTTTTTAAATATTCATGCATGACACCTATACAATACAGTTAAATACAGAAACAGGACAAAGTGTGAGCACCTTGTACACAGTGATACATAAGAACCAACAAACCTTATTAAAGTATAGTTTGTTGAAGTTGAGGAGATAAATTGCTTATTATTAGCATGCAATATCAATCAAGATAGGAAGGAAGGCTGATCGGCATATCCCTGTACATTTGTTTGTTTGTTTGTTTATCGCTTCCCTCTCTTGCATAAAGCCTTTATTTGATTAAGAGCTTGGAATTTCGTCATTAATATTTGTTAAATATATCAGAGACAAAAACGCGTATTATAGATTAATTTACCGAACATTTAGTCCCTGTCTATGGAAATCCAACCTGCCAGTTACAGAAAGTGCAATAACAGGTGCGCCTCATGTTGCACGGCTTGTCCGGTTGAACGGTTCGCTCAATGGAAGAATAATTTATATCTCCATCGGAAGTGAATTCTTTCATAATATATTATTTTTGGTATGGGTGCAGAGGGTTTGAAAGGGTGAGGTGATTATACAGTTGTAGTTTCCAGGTGAGGGGTAGAAAGACATAAAAGTTAACTGGTAGTGTTTGCTGTGGCGTCCAACTGCTCATTCCACGATTGATTTTTTCCCTGAACCAAACTGTCAGATCCCTATGTCTGTTAACTGCCAAACCACCTAGTAAATTGAACATCACACTGACCGTTCTTGTTCAGTCCCTCATATTATCTAGGAGGGGACTATTTAATATTATCTGAACGTTTTTATCTAGGATTCCCCCCCCCCCCCCCGAGCAATATTCTCGGGTGGTAGGAATTCTACCGGAAGAAACATTACCTCATTTGTTTATTTGTTCTTTTATTTATTTCCAAGAATTTTTAACAAACTGCTTCCAACTGAAAGCTCCGACAAATAGAGTCAGACGGTGCAAGCTCTGATAAAACTGGGCCCAATGTTTTCTTTCATGCAATATTTTGTGTATATATAATTCTATATTTAATGTAAATATGCATATATCATTCTAACACAAACTCAAACATGGAATTGTCTTTGGTAGTTTTATTATTTCCTTCAGATAGACTAATCATGTTGATACAGATCAGGAGCCTCTGGGATAGCAATGATATATATATGTGTACAAATGTATAAACATCTACATATACATACATATATTTATATATACTTAAATATATTCATATATCTATACAAAAATATGTGTATATATGTATATATACATATACACAAACACATATAAACATATTTATATGCATACATACATATACATACATATATAGATATGTGTGTATATATGTGTGGGCGTGTGTGTGTATGTGTATATATATACATATATATGTATGCTTATATATATATATATATATATATATATATATATATATATATATATATATATATATATATATATATATGCATGTATACACACACACATACACACACACACACACACACACACACACACACGTATACATATATATATATATATATATATATATATATAATGTATATGTGTGTGTGTGTGTGTGTGTGTGTGTGTGTGTGTGTGTGTGTGTGTAGTGTGTGTGTGTGTGTGTGTGTATAAGTATATATAAAGTAGTAATCAATATTAACAGTTTACACCACAGTGTAGCGAGCAGAGAAGCCCTTGGATGTCCTTGATCCGCCCGCGAAGGCGACGTTCACGGTGCGTCCTTCGGAGACAAGGCAGGAGGTCTTCATCCCAGCGCAAAGGAGGGAGCTGTGTTCGGGCATGTAGGAGGCCCGGCCTGACTTGTCCACGGCGATGTAAGCCCCAAGGCATTTCCTGTCCTTGATGCTGATTTTCGTAAACTCCAAGTGAACTCTCTTACCTTCTGGAGCCTGAAATAGTTTAAAAATTACTTGGAGTGAGAATAAACCCGACTTCCTCTATCACAGAAAAGGGACAGATTCTGAACTTTGACGTGACCAAGGTAGGCAAGACACATTTAGGACTTGGCATGTGACTCCTTACCACAATCCACCACTCGCAGACGGAATTCTTCGGATAATTCTCTGGGAATCCTGGACTCTGGATGACGCCCGTCGCGGAGTCGTCCGAAAGTTCGATGACGCGGTGACACTGCGTTTTTTGCCACGTGATGCTGACGTTGAATCCGACGTCCGTTACAGCGTTGTCGGTGACGAAGTTGGCTTCCAGATTCAGGTTCGGAACAAAAATGGACCCTTTCCTTGCACCGCAGAGCCTGAGATGGGAAATGTCATGTAAAAGGATGCCTCGGCCATTAATAACTTTGTCAGTGAGTATACCTTACAGTTTACATTTCTTTTTCTTTTTTGACAATATTGTATAGTTTTTTTTTTTAAAGCTGCATCTCCCCCACCATCCTTATCCAGTGAAGGAATATCTTCTGATGGGATACCCCTATCACTAATCCCTCTTATAATACTTCCAAGAATATTTTTGCCAATTACTCTCATGCAGTCAGTCCTTACTTCACGGTCCTGTTGTAAGGAATCTGAATCCCAACGAAGTCGACGCATTTCTTGAGCTTCTTCTTCTGTAGTTTAAAGGAGTTGATCTTGAAGGTGGTCATGTATGGTGAGTCCTGGAAGAGGAAGACGTCAGTACTGAATACTTAACATGGGATACATTAACTGTCGTTTCTCATAGCATACACTAACTACACATTTCATGGGATACACCAGTTGTCACTTCTATGCACTTACGTATGTGATGCACTACCATTTCTCATGGGAAACACTGACATGGAGGAAAAACTTTTCGTGATTCTTACAGCGGTTCCCTTAAGACCACAAGTGAAGTCGTTGGGATAGTTCTCGAAGCCGAAGTTGGGGGACAGCCAAGTTACTCCTTCGCTGGCAGAGAGTAAAGAACAGTCTGGAGAGGGTTGTGGTGTAGTTGGTGGCTGAGTGGTTGGTGGTGAGTGGGGTGGTTGTGTGGTTGGTGGCTGAGTGGTTGGTGGTTGAGTGGTTGGTAGTGGAGTGGTTGGTGGTCAGAAGCAGGGCTGCAGTTGGGGTCGTCGATGAAAGTGACGTCCGCAGACCAACCCGTCTCGTAATTGGTCCTTGTGTAAAACATCAGGATGAGCTCGTTGGTGGTGGAGGTGAACGAGGTACCCGGGGCGATGCTGGTCCCGCAGTAGCTGTTGAAGACGTTTCATGGAAAAGATTATCAACGAAAGGGGAACAGGACTGCCACCGAATTGACTGAATAAGAGATATGTTATTTCAAACGAGAATATTCGTGAAATAACTGCTCATATTAACAAGGCTGAAGAGGACTTACAAGTCGCCATCGTAGCGGTTGCTGGTTCGAATCTCCAGCTTGTCCCAACAGTCGGAGAGCCTGAAGGCAGTGAAGGTGACTCTGGGCAGCTTGCACTCAGGTGCCACTACCCACTTGGCACATACCACTCCTACAGAAATCGATAAGAGAACGATAGAATAGTATATACATGCATGTACACCTCAGTGTGATTATACCATCTCGTGGAGAATATTTTGTCCTTTGCTATTTCACACTAGGATCCTGTGCATGCCATCAGAGTGGAATGACTCACCATAAGGGTAGTTACTCGGGTAGTTGGGCGAGGTGACCGTGCCAGGGCTTGTGATGCGCGCACTGCAGTCACTGCGTTGCGAGGCTGAAGGGAAATGGGTAGTTCTGTTAGTGGAGGAAGTAAGGTCCCTCATGGTGGAAGCACACACACACAATCTCTCTTCCTCTCTCTCGCATGTATATATCTGCACACATTTAGATATATACATATATATGGATATGTACATATATACGTATACATACATTTATGTATGTATATATATATATGTATATATATATCATATATATGAGTATGTATGAATATATACATGTGAGTACATGTATAAATACGTCTTTACATTCTTGAAAATCTAAAAATATTATTCTTACCAAAATAATCCTCTTCGAGTGTTTCGCATGAAGACCCGGATGTTCCTTGCGGACACACGCACGCGCAGTTTGCACCAGTGTATCCGCCGTTCTGGCAGGGGTCGCTGTCCATGCCACACGCCTGCTTCCACTTGTCTGCAGCGAGAAACCAGCGAGACTTTTGAGTGCTTCTTTGCCTTGCTAGAACTACGAAGGAAAATCTCTCAGGCAAAATATTACATATGTCCATGCAAGACCAGGAGGAGTACTAACCGATGCATCCGTACATGAGGTTGGCGAGGTGCGTGTCCCGGTGCGACAGGCCGTCGCGACGTCCGATCAGCTCCTGGTTGCGGGGGTCCACCGTGGCGATGGTCAGGCGGCCGTTCTTCGAGAAGCCCTGAGGGGTGAACGGCTCTTGGTTAAATACACCTGTGAGATTGCCGTCACTTTCATGCAATAGGAAGTCAACCCAGGTGTCCTGTTCATAGAGAAGACTCCACAAGTGATTGAAGAATACTTACAAATCCGCCGTAATGCATGTCACTTGAGTA